AACCCGCCCCTCCCCATCTCCGACCCAGGCAAACAATTCCGCTTTCCAGGTGTGACAGCAAAAAAATGTAGCTGAGAAAGGGGTGGGGGCGAGGGGGAAGGAGTCCCCTCTTTCTCCTCATTCATTCACTCCCCCGGAGCCTAATTACATTTGGCAGGTCCTTGTACACACAATCAGAACAGCTTCCTTCAGTGTCGCGAGCCTCCGAAAACCACATTAGCTGCGATTGCTGCTGCCAAATTAAATTGTTACCACCTTGAATTGGAAGTGTCCAAGTTCCCTCGCCTCCCCCTTTCCCTCGCTCACGGTCACACCTGTGCACGGTTCCGCCCCGTTTTCTGTCCTTCGAAAAACCTCTTTTGCCGTTCTCCTTTTCGCCCCCATAGCTTTGGTTTCTGGATCTTTTGCAATAGCCAAATGCAGGTATTGATCCATTTTTGAAGCGCCCCCCCCCCCCCCGCCTCTCTGAAACATACACACCCACAGAGAACCCACCTCCGCGCAGACTACTCTTGCTGTAACTTGGTCAATTTCTTAAGCCTATTTGATGATATAATTAAATATTTCACACAGACCTTCCTGCCTCAGACTGTAGCCCAGTGTTCAGGCACACACACATCCGTATGACTCGTGTGTATACCTACACATCGCTCAGGAGGGGTTAAATATTGTCCACACGTGCTCTTTGCCGTTGTAAACGGCGCAGGTGAAGTCAGCCCGCGTGTGTGAAACTGACCAGACGATAGAAGGGGAAAATATGTCCAACTAAATCACACACGCAAAGCTCACAAGGAATTGATCTTTACCTGGTCAGTTCTGGCCATGCCTTGCATGGATAAATACTGCACACAGTAACCGTAACCCCTTCGCTTCCGTTTCCACGCTTGGCTGCAATTAATACCATTTCCTCGTTTTCATGAGGCCTTGGCCCCCTCCCTTTCTTCATTAAATACTAGGCATCTTCCCCACACCCTAAACTTTTGGTTGCGGCCATACTCATCTTCTCTGCTCCACAAACGCTCCGCATGGAACCAGGTCCAACTTACAGGTCCCACGTGACACTCCCTCATGCACCCCAATAACAACAATAAATAACAACAAAAATAATAACTTGGTTTTAACAAGGCTAAAAAAAAAATAAGTGAAGTCTCATGAATATATGCCCAGGGCTAGCTGGAGTGAGCCGTTTAAAGATGAAAGTGCAGAGAAATAAAGGCTCAATTTAATCTGCCTTAAAACCCTTCAACTTAACGTTTGTGCTTGGAACTCAGAGAGTGAGCACTGATTGGGGATAAATACATTTCTTAGCATGCCTCGGAGCTATTACACCCCTCTCCAACACAGCTCCCTATTCAGCCGCCACAGTTTTCATTACCAGCTCTAATAAGTCTTAACATTATTAAATGCCAAGCAGATGATAGAAAGAAACAGGCGCAGGGTGGAATCTTTCTTTAACACTTAAAAAGAGAGAGCATTTAGGGCTGTCTTCCTCCGGCTCCCCGCGAGGAGAGTCCACAAATAGAGCAAAGGCATTTGTCACGAGGAAAAAGCCCCAAAACAAAGTTCTCCCCCGTTTTCTTTTTTCCCTTTCTTTTCGTCCCCCACTCCCCCCACAGCATTTTTTTTAATAAAGACCAGAGCCTTTTGTGGCTCTATTTGAAAAAACTTTAGGCACTCGTGCCAAAAGGTTGTCAGTCGTTAAAAAAAGTTGCAAGTTGGGTTACATGGAGGTGAAATCTCTAAAGATTATTAAAAATGAGACAGGTTGGATCTTTCTTTCTTTCTTTCTTTCTTTCTTTCTTTCTTTCTTGTGTTGATAGTTACTTTAAGGGAGGGGGCATTTAAAACTTCTTTGCACTAAAAAAAGATGTATCGAGTGTGAGGAGATTTGGTTTTTTAAAAATCGCCTCCCATTAGTCTAAAGCTTGGTTGAATGCATGAGATCAGCCCCTGGACACAAACACAACTTCCATAGCCCAAGCACACGGGCCTCCTACTTGGTCCCCTAAAACAAATGGCGGTTGCGCCTACTTCCATATTTCTGCTGCGGGGCTGTGTTTCTTTTCAAGACCTGGGCAGCCGGCTCGGGTCCCCTGCGCTTTCAGAGTCAGTCTCCGCTGGGAAAAGAAGGCTCAGAACCAGGGCCCTTCTGCGGTGAAATGCGAAGCCGGCACGGAGTGGACCAGCGGTGTGTGTGTGTTGGGTGTCTTCTAAGCTCACCGTTTGTTTAGCTTGCTTTAAAATCCCGAAATGGGCCACAATTCGCACTCGACTGAAAGTGGGTTCCCCCCCCTAAATAAATCGGGGAGCACGCTTTTCTTTGATCATGACATTGTCCCTGGAGAATAATGAATGCGTATTTATTTGCTGATTGAAATTAATATTAATATTTTCACCTTTCATTCTTCTTTTTTGGGGGGGAAGGGAACAGAGAAACTATTTTGCAGCTTTCTTACGAGCTCGTGCATTAGGGGGGGGGGAAGGGAACAGGGAAACTATTTTGCAGCTTTCTTACGAGCTCGTGCATTAATTTTGTACGCAATCGGCTCGCACTAAAATCCTTGCAAATATCGCAAGGGGAAAAAAAATCTCACACACAATAGGTCTGATTTGCAAATGAGCATTGGCTATTTCCAAATCACAAGAAACATTTTGCAACTTCCAACGGCTCGCCTTTTTCCAACAGACGGCACTATAATATTACAAAACTATCTAACAGCAGGGAGTTTTGAATAATTTATCTCCTTTTCTTCCCGTCCTTGGCCCTTTGTCCAAACTTTTTCTCCTCCCTGCAGAATTTTGAATGAGAATGGACAACGGTCCCTGCCCCCACCCTTTACTCCATTTTTTTTAAAAGGCAGCCTAGATTTTTTTTTTAAACTGTTTGCTTTTGTGGCCAGGAATCTTTTGCCTATAAAGATTCAATAGACTTGAAGGTCTTTGTAAGTGAAGTTCATCTTCAAGGTTGGAAAAAAAAAGAGAGGATCGGATCCTTAAAGCACCCCCTTTTGTACACCTTTATTTCAAACTTAGACCAATGTTTGATACTGACACTTGGAAGCTTTTTGTTTGCCCGTTTTACCCTTCCCCCCTTTACAAACAAAACCGCTGGATTTCAGTGTTCCAAGACATCCGCATTGTCTCAGACCGGGGAAATTTTATAGCCAGTGGGGGAAAAATTGCAAGACTTCCACATACAAATTTTCAGATGTGCTTGTGGCAGAAAATAACGATTTTCTCTCTCACCCTAAACTCGATCGCTAAATATTACTGCAAATGATCCAAAGAAACCGCAATCTCTTAAAAACCAACCAAAAAACCAAATCAACGATTCTTTTTGAAACACAGCCAACCAAACATAAACGAAGTTGCATTTTGTCAGGCTACAAACCTTTTTACCTATTTATAGACAATGGTTGAAATCCTTCTGAAAAACCCCGTTCGCAGGTTTTCCTACATTTACACCTTTCCTCAGAAAGCGGGCGAGATCTCTGACTTAAAAAAAAAGGCGAATTTCCCTTCAAACACACACACAGGTTTCTCTCCACCCCCTGCCGCTAATGAGTTAGGATCTAGTTCATTATTTAAAAGACGAACGTATCCTGACTGGAAGAAATCCCAACCCCGATCTTTCTCTTTTCCTTTTAGTGAAGAAGGACCCTCATCCTTTCGGCAAGATTAATGTAGGTGGGAAAGAAATACAGACAGTGAAACGGATACTCGCGTTCCTCTCCCAAACTTTTTATTTACCCAACATCCACTTCATGCTGTTTACACCTTTCTCCTACTTGTCTCATTCACTTGCACTGGCATTTTTTGGGGGGGGGCAGGGGGAGAGTCCAAGAACGAATCAAAATGGACAAACACTTTAGCTGCAAACATTTTGTTTCTGCAAACTCCTCTCCCCCGTCTCCCCCCCCCCCACCCCCTCCCCCCCACAAAAAGTTTACAGTCTGCTCCGGTGTTCTTACCGAAACCCGCGAGAGGAAACCGAAGACGGGAGATTTCAACAAATATTTCAGAACCCTTCCCACCCTCCACACCCCACTGGCCTTCCCCCCCAACACCAACCGATGGTTTTTCAGGGGAGATTTCTGGCTGCTCTTTATCTGAGCATCATGGGTCTCTCTCCCTGGTTAGCCCCGGCGCTTTTGCTGGTGCCCAAAAGGAGAAACTATCCCAGCCTCTCTAATTGATATTGATTGCCCCAATCCCTCAACTGTCAGCCAGAGTTTCAGGGGACCACTTAGAGAGCAGGAGAAAAATCTGTTTAACAAATTCATTTAGGAATCTCTGATTCCTCCCTCCCTTCTCTATAAATAATTGATCCACAGTGACTGCGAGCAAAATGCCAACATCTCTTTTCCGGCCGTTGGAGAAGGGGCGAAATGTAATCAGGTATCACATTAAAACCCCACGCCTCCCCCACCCCCTCCAAGCGCCTTTCTACCCACAGTTTCATTAAGGCCTTGCTCTCCATGTGTCTGGTTTCCTCTTAGATCTTTTAGAAAGGGCCCTGGGGACAGCTCGTGTCTGACTGCGAGCAAAATGCCAACATCTCTTTTCCGGCCGTTGGAGAAGGGGCGAAATGTAATCAGGTATCACATTAAAACCCCACGCCTCCCCCACCCCCTCCAAGCGCCTTTCTACCCACAGTTTCATTAAGGCCTTGCTCTCCATGTGTCTGGTTTCCTCTTAGATCTTTTAGAAAGGGCCCTGGGGACAGCTCGTGTCTGATCTAATTTTGTTTTTTAAACCCGGGGGTGATGGAAATAATAATAAAAAAAAGGGTGGGTGGGTCTGAAGCCCTCCAAGGGAAGCCAAGCCATGGGGTGGACATTTGCAGGCGCAGGCTCCATCCCGCTTTTACTGAATTTCGCCCCTAACTCCAGTGACATCAGGTCCCGGCCAAACCCAGTTTCGGCAAGTGCCAATAGAAAGCAAGCGGCGCTTAATGCCGGCGGGACAGCGAAGTCTAGCTGCCCCTCGACTCGAGTTACCTTTGTCCCCCAAGATGCCGTCTATGCTGTGCTTGGCTTTCTTCTCCCCGTCTTCCTCTTTCTTGTCGCAGTCCTCCTCCTCCTCTTTCTTCCCGAACTTGATTCTTAGCACCCGGCTAATCGAACTCACTAAACCTCAGACAGTCAAAGACAAAAGAGCAAATATAAGCCGGGTTGGAAACCGGGGGGAAGCCGGCAGAGACACATGACAAAGTTGAGCCACAAGGAAAGCCAAGTTATGCAGCGAGGTGGCAAACACGTGCAAGGGACACAAACTACACCCCCAACCAAGTTTTTTTTATGTACAGACACAAACTACACCCCCCAACCCAGATATATACATACATCCACAAACTACACCCCCAACCCAGATCTATACACACACACAAACTACACCCTCCAATCCAGATCTATACATACAGACACAAACTACACACACACCACAAACCCAGATCTATACATACATACATACACACAAATAAACCAAACACAAAATAAACCCAGAAAAAATACATCGGGGTAGCATACACGCACAGGTTAAGACACACACACTGGGCTAACCAATTTAAATATAGACTCACAGATCTGCACACAAACATACAAAAAAATCGGCCCCCTCACTCAGGAATAAACACAAACACAGCAATCCAGGCGAATGTCTCACATTGTCATGGACTCTTACACAAACACACAGATCACATGCATGCACACATCAAGTCACAAGCTTTGTCACCACGAGCACACGCACACACTTTGCACTCATCAATGTACAAGCACTTACCTCTCTTACCCCCCGGTTTATCACAGGCAGGCACCCTTATCCCGCACACGTGCAAATCTCAAACGCACACCGTACAATTGTACACACAGAGCCATACACACACCCCACCCGTGGTCCCACACTCGACAACACAAACACACACTGGGTATCTCTTGCCGGTTTTTATTTTTTATTGTGAAAATCCAGCTGGCCTTCCCCTTTGCTTTCCTTCCCCGAGGCCAAAAGGAGCTGGAAGGGAGAGGGAGCAGGAATTCAGGATCGGGCCCGCTGCTAGTTTCTTTTAAACTCTTTGGTGCTACTTCCCCGAAAGGGAAGTTTGGGCGGGCGGAGGGCACCCGAGAAAAGACAGGCCAGGGTGCTGGTGGGCGCTCTCTGTCCACAGCTCTTGGCTAAGGGGAAGACTAAAGAGTGTCATAAACTGGGCCTCCTTTCGAGCAAGGCTTTAAGGTTTGCCCGAGGCTCGTATTTCCGGTGGGAATCCTCCACTCCCTTTCCTGCTTTCCAGGTTCCTTTCTAGGGAACCTGTCCATGGGTTTTCTTGCATCACTCAACTGCCACGTGGAAACTTTTTTGGCCGTAGGGCGCAAGAGGGGGGTTTGTAGCCGCTGGATGAACT